GAACAAATCCCAGCTACCCATTTGCAAGCTTAGAACTAGCATCGCAAAGCCTAAACCCATGCCACAAAGTAAAGTCCCCTAAGAATACCAGGCATGGAACCAGTACTGGTATAATTTCCTGGGAAGTATCCCATCTACTTAGCCAAGAGTAGAGTGTGAACGAGGTACTTGGTATGTGTACCTGAAGAATACCGAGGAGTTCCATACTTGTAGGTGTGGAGTGTACCTGAGATGTGGTGCTATAATATACCATGTGATGCTATAATCTAACAGGTGGTGCAGTCTGATGTGTTGGGTGTTATGGTAAGAAGGAATGACCGAGGTAAGGAGGTCATTGGTTGTTATGAAGAATGAAGATGATAATAGTAGTTATTTGATGAAGGACGTATACTGATGTGAAGTGTGATGAACATAATACAGGTTGTACCTCTCTAGTCCGGCAACCTCGGGACCTGACCGGTGCCGGACCATGGAAATTTCCGGCCCATGGAAATTCACCCTTTTCCTGGATAGATAGTGACTTGGCTTGGAAGCACTAGCACCACTTTCTCTGCTTCATGGTCTCTTTGAAGACATATTGAAGGGTTAAATGTCGTACAGTAGCTTCCCAAATTTCGCGAGTTTTTAATTCGACGTTTTCTATTTGAACACACAAAAAAACAACACATTTAAAAATTTTGACGGCAGAAACTCGAATTTCGATGGGTTTGAATGGCCCACCAACGTTCAGACGACGTGCACAATCGTGTAAACAGCGTCATTTCTCTTTTGTACAAAAGATTCATTATTGTTTATTACTGAAAGTCTTTTTGATTGAATTAATGTTTGTGTGTGCAAAATGAGCAATACAATTCATTAATAATACGTAAAATATTAAAACACGAGGAAATGAGACAGCATTGTTTTCGTTGATTACAAAACCAGTGACTGACTGGTTCTACATATAAAACTGAAGAAAATAAAACCTTGGTTGTAGCTGTAGTAAAATTAATATGGTTGTTTTAAGGAATGTTATTTAATGTTAATAAGTGGAACAATAGAAGTAGCTAACGATAATGGTAAAGAAAAAAAGAGAGATCGCGTATGTAAGTGCGCACACGTGAAAACATATCGTCATTACTTTACATAAGAATATGAAAGCAACACTTATTTACTGTTCATATATATTTTAATTAATGTTTCTGAATTTGTTTTTATTGAATTAATGTTTGTGTGTGCAAAATTAACAATACAATTTATTAATAATATGGGACTATTAAAACACACGAGGAGACGAGACGCTGTCGCATTGTTTTTGTTAGTTACAAAACCAGTGACTGATTGGTTCTACATATAAAACTGAAGAAATAAGACCCTGGATTAGCTGTAGTAAAATTAATGTAAAAAATTAATATGGTTGTTTGAAGTAATGTTATTTAATGTTAATAAATGAACAATATAGTAGCTAACCATTAATGGTAAAAAAAAAGTGAGACTGCACGTATGTAAGCAGCACATGAAAACATATCGTCATTACTCTACATAGAATATGAAGGCAACATTTATTTCTGCTCATATATATTGAAGGGTTAAATGTTGTACTCTGTATAGACAAGCAGAGAGAGAGAGAGAGAGAGAGAGAGAGAGAGAGAGAGAGAGAGAGAGAGAGAGAGAGAGAGAGAGAGAGAGAGAGAGAGAGAGAGAGAGAGAGAGAGAGAGAGAGAGAGAGAGAGAGAGAGAGAGAGAGAGAGAGAGAGAGAGAGAGAGAGAGAGAGAGAGAGAGAGAGAGAGAGAGAGAGAGAGAGAGAGAGAGAGAGAGAGAGAGAGAGAGAGAGAGAGAGAGAGAGAGAGAGAGAGAGAGAGAGAGAGAGAGAGAGAGAGAGAGAGAGAGAGAGAGAGAGAGAGAGAGAGAGAGAGAGAGAGAGAGAGAGAGAGAGAGAGAGAGAGAGAGAGAGAGAGAGAGAGAGAGAGAGAGAGAGAGAGAGAGAGAGAGAGAGAGAGAGAGAGAGAGAGAGAGAGAGAGAGAGAGAGAGAGAGAGAGAGAGAGAGAGAGAGAGAGAGAGAGAGAGAGAGAGAGAGAGAGAGAGAGAGAGAGAGAGAGAGAGAGAGAGAGAGAGAGAGAGAGAGAGAGAGAGAGAGAGAGAGAGAGAGAGAGAGAGAGAGAGAGAGAGAGAGAGAGAGAGAGAGAGAGAGAGAGAGAGAGAGAGAGGAGAGAGAGAGAGAGAGAGAGAGAGAGAGAGAGAGAGAGAGAGAGAGAGAGAGAGAGAGAGAGAGAGAGAGAGAGAGAGAGAGAGAGAGAGAGAGAGAGAGAGAGAGAGAGAGAGAGAGAGAGAGAGAGAGAGAGAGAGAGAGAGAGAGAGAGAGAGAGAGAGAGAGAGAGAGAGAGAGAGAGAGAGAGAGAGAGAGAGAGAGGGGGGGGGGGGGGGGGGGGGGGGGGGGGGGGGGGGGGGGGGGGGGGGGGGGGGGGGGGGGGGGGGGGGGGGGGGGGGGGGGGGGGGGGGGGGGGGAGAGAGAGAGAGAGAGAGAGAGAGAGAGAGAGAGAGAGAGAGAGAGAGAGAGAGAGAGAGAGAGAGAGAGAGAGAGAGAGAGAGAGAGAGAGAGAGAGAGAGAGAGAGAGAGAGAGAGAGAGAGAGAGAGAGAGAGAGAGAGAGAGAGAGAGAGAGAGAGAGAGAGAGAGAGAGAGAGAGAGAGAGAGAGAGAGAGAGAGAGAGAGAGAGAGAGAGAGAGAGAGAGAGAGAGAGAGAGAGAGAGAGAGAGAGAGAGAGAGAGAGAGAGAGAGAGAGAGAGAGAGAGAGAGAGAGAGAGAGAGAGAGAGAGAGAGAGAGAGAGAGAGAGAGAGAGAGAGAGAGAGAGAGAGAGAGAGAGAGAGAGAGAGAGAGAGAGAGAGAGAGAGAGAGAGAGAGAGAGAGAGAGAGAGAGAGAGAGAGAGAGAGAGAGAGAGAGAGAGAGAGAGAGAGAGAGAGAGAGAGAGAGAGAGAGAGAGAGAGAGAGAGAGAGAGAGAGAGAGAGAGAGAGAGAGAGAGAGAGAGAGAGAGAGAGAGAGAGATTAGCCTACCTGGGGACAGGTCACTGACCCACATTGGGGCCTGAGGGGCAAAAATTTAATACTCCTGTAATAATAATAATAATTCAGATAAGTAAAAAAAAAAAAGCTGCCTATCTACCTATTGGACAAACTAAAATCGTTCCGGACCACGGAATGTCGGACTAGAGAGGTACAACCTGTAGTGGTTATTTTGATGAAGGCCAAATCTTTTTGTATTGTGACTGGATGCAATATGTTTTTATAAGGAATGAATTAGTTAAGTCATGACTGATGTTTCGCCCTTCTTCCCACTCTCGATTTGGTCAATGAAAAACCCAACCCAATGCCAGGCTTGCTCTGCCAGCTACCTAAACAAGCTACATACTGTCTAGGGGGTCTGGTGGCAACGACCTTAAAATTAAGAGTAGATTTAAATTATCCCCTTAAGATTAGTGACCCCAGAATGGGCAGTATAAATAAGTACTGTACAGTATTCTTGTACTGTATTACAAACCGATATTTTTCTGGATCCAAGTCATCTTTATTTTTTTCTTTTCTTTGGTGTTTTCGTTCTTCACGTTTCTTACGATGATCTGCAATCATCTGTTGCCATCCTAGGCCAACTCGGTCTGATTTCAACTCTACAGCAACGGGCTCTAACATTCCTTGATCTGCAAAAAGAAGATTTTTAGCAACGGGGGACACCAAGTAATTTCTTATTAGTTGAGACAAAACAGAGCATGGTATGCTGAACAATGTGAAGTAATGTACAGTATTATAAACTCTTCTATCACAACTGATTGTCTGAATAGTATTGACTTATTTCTGTGTCTCAAATTTTGCTGTCTTTCCAAAGAGTTTTAAATTAGTAAAGAAATGATTCTTTAGATAATTATGAAACCTACATATTCCTGCCACCACTTAAAGTCTACAAATAATCTTACATACTTATTCACATCTAACATACTCATTTCATTACCAAATATTCTCTTGTCATTTCCCCCTATTTTTGCTATAAGCCCTGCCCTGACTTGGCCATCATTTAGATCACTAGCTATGGTGGCTATTAGACCATTCTTATTATCATTTTATGGCCATGCTTGTGTGAGATACCAATAATTACTAGATGGCATGGTAATTTGGTTTATTTGACTACTCTGAGTTCCTCTTCAAAGTTCTGCTGTATGGATGTACCTCAATACACTGGACTAATTGAGGCAGACCACAGTCCGGGAAAAGAGAAAGTCCGAAAAATGTGAATCTATCTGGGTTCGGACAGAACCTTGCTCATCTGGACTATTTCTGGAAAATAAGACACAAGTCTGGTTGTTGATAACTGTTTTCAATGATATGACTGCTTCATACTGTAAAGCATTCACCCAGAGTATAAATATTAAAAGTGCTTCTCTACATAATGAACGTCTACCAGGTAGTACTGTGTTACCAACCCGTGCAATAGTGTTGAACTTTTGTTTGTTTTAGCCCTCACCATATTGATGCCCCATGCCCATAAACCTGCTATGATAGCTGAAAGAAATATGACCCTCTGAGGACAGCTGTGTCCTCAGCCATTCTAATCCCTCTAACTATCGCCCCACTGCCCTAACTTCATCCCTCTCTAAGATTTTCGAAACTATCTTAAACTCTCATTCTCTCCGTCACCTTGAACGCCATTCTCTTTTGTCGGATCACCAGTATGGCTTTCGCCTGGCGCGATCTACTGGTGATCTGCTCTCATACTGCACCCATCTTTTGTCATCCTCTCTTTGGGATTATGGGGAAACTTTCGTCGTGGCCCTCGACATCTCCAAAGCATTTGACAGGGTATGGCACAAGTCTTTGCTTTCTAAACTTTCCTCTTATGGTTTTTCTCCCTCACTTTGTTTTCTAATCTCCAGCTTCCTTGAGAACCGATCCATGGCAGTTGTTGTCGAGGGATCGATCTCTCGCTCTTTCTCTAGCAATAGTGGTGTCCCACAGGGTTCTGTTCTTTCACCAACTCTCTTCCTTCTTTTTATCAATGATTTACTTCACACTACAACTTATTCTATCCAATCTTACGCTGATGATTCTACTCTTCACTCTTCTTCACATTTTCCCTTCCTCCTAACTCTCAAGCTAGATCTGTTTCTAGAGCTGATTTCATTTCATCTATCAATGTGGATCTGTGCAGCATCTCCGAATGAGGAGGTAGAAACTTGGTTAAATTCAATTGTAATAAAACTCAGTATTTACCAATCACACTTTCCAAATTAGATGATCTCTCACCAATCACATTTCAGGACACAATCAATCTGCCAAATTCAAATATAGATATGCTAGGCCTCACCATTTCCTCTAATATGTCATGGAAGCCACACATCCTTAACATAGCTAAAGCAGCCTCCCGAAAGTTGGGAATGCTGTACAGATGCAGTAGCTACTTCACTCCTGTTCTCATATCTGGGGTGGCTCTTCTTCTGTCCAACTGTTAGATAGGGTGGAATCAAAGGCATTTCATCTTATTAACTCTCCTCCTTTAGTCGATAATCTTTCTTCCTTTCTCTTCGCCGTAATGTTGCTTCACTCTCTCTCTTTTACAGGTACTTTAATGGGCAATGTTCGGTAGATTTGGCGTCCTGTGTACTGCCGGCAAGTCCGTGGGCTCGTTACACACGTCTCGCCCGCAGTGCCCACCATTTCTCTGTGAATGTCGTTCACACTAGAATAACCCCACACAGCCAAACTGTGGAATGCTCTGCCTTCTTCTGTGTTTCCATGCACATTACTTTATACAGGTACACCACCGATTTTCCGGCACCCCCTGGTTCCAAAGCCTTGCCGGATTACCCATTTTGCCAGACCAACCGAGGTCAGGTACAGGTACTGTAATAGTAATTCAACATTACAGTGGTCCCTCGGTTAACGAACACAATTCGTTCCAGAAGGTCGCTCGTTAACCGAATCCATTGTTTCAATGGTATATTGGGTAATTGGTTCCAGCTCACCGAAAAGTACATACAAAATAAAAAAAAAATGCAGTAAAGTGCACTTACTTTGAGGTGTGTATGTAGAAGGCTCCTGGTTGATGATGATGATGATGGGAATTAGAAGTGGGGGTGGAGGAGAAGGGAGAAGAGAAAGAAGTGGGGATGGAGGAAAAATCACCTTTCAGGGGACCCATGCTTGATGCCGTCATTTCACCAATAAAATTTTAAGTTCACTAGGAGTAATTCAAGATTATTTTCTTTAAATTAACACTGCACTATGCTATATATTATCAATATGTTAAATAAATTTCAAAATGACCAATAATTGTACAGTACAGTACTGTAAAAAGGTAAAAATACTCTGTATTCATGAGATCCACAAGAAAGATGTTTCCTCCACTGAACAGAGACACAAACAGACGCCTTGGTGGGTGAGTGAAGTGACTGATGGGTGCACCAAAAACTAGTTCCCTGTACTGTAATTATGTTAAATAAGTGTTAAAATGACTAATAATTTTAATATATAACTTGGAAAAATATCGCATAGCACAACCTTCTTGATATTTACTCCAATGGAAACGAATGTAGCCCTAGAACCGATTACTGTATCGGCGGACTAACCTACCAGCCGATGAGCAAGCCAAAACACGTTGCCATGTTTTCGTAAGAATTTTGTTTATCAAATTTTTGATCGTTAACCGAATTGAAGATTCTTATGGAAAGTAATTCGTTAACCGAAATTTCGTTAACCGAGGCGTTCGTTAACTGAGGGACCACTGTACACCTCTGACACACTAATTATACACCTCCTGTGTCTCTAAAGCACCATGGACTGCTAGAAACTTAAATTAAACAAGTATTAAATGCAAATTAAATGTGAAAAAGCCATAATTTTGAGCAACAGTAGTACACACTTAATACTGAAATGTACGACACAAAAGGACTAACATTTTATCTCTTGTGCAAACTATGTGATGTTTATACTCAAATTAATCAGTATCTTACAAGGATTCCAGCAATGCAAGTTATATTCTGCTAAGTCTAGTCAGCTACATTTTACAGGATAAAAACTTTAAGCCTAAAGCTACCTTCACCCGGGCTGGGAGGGAGGGAGGGAAGTTATGTGCCGTCTCGTAATTTATCTGCTCTAAAGGAGGTGCCGGACCATCAGTTCCCGGAAAATCAGTGGTGTACCTGTACCTTCGTTATTTAACTTGATTGCAATATGAACCTTATTCCATTATAAAGTATACATATTTAGCAAAAAATAGTTATAGAAGAAAAGTGAAAAAAAAAATATTTTACTAGGTAATAGTGGTGTATATTCTGCACTCTGATGAGAGCGCCCGGGTCGAGTACAGATTATTAAATTTTTCCCTCCAAGGGCAAAAGAAAATTTTACATATTGAGTCATAGCAAGCTTACTCTTGAAGATAAAAAGGTTGGGTTTATTGTATTAGCTTAGGAAATACTGTACATTACAGTAAGCCCTCTATAAGTCAGCACATATGGGGCTCTGGCCTTGCCGAGTTATCCCAAATTCCGACTTATCGAGGCACTCCCCCTCCTACAAAAATACAACAATAAAAAATTATCGACCTATATACAGGTGCTCCCCTACTTACGACTGCTTGGACTTACGTTCATCGGTACTTACGACGTGCTCTGACCTTACAACCATTGGGACATGCGGCAGTCGTGACCAAAAATATTGTCAAATGACGCGCGCATTTACTATACCGAAACGTTTCTGTCCCGGGCGAGAGCGTGGCGGGCGGGCGGGCTTGGGTCGCCGCGTGGGTACACTCACTCAGTGGAGCGCTTAGTTGGTGTTTGGCTATCGTATCCTATATACTGATTGTGCTGTGAACTTTCATTATTATCGTATATAATTGACTTTATAATGACTGGAAAGCGTAAAAGTGAGAGTGCTGGTGGTGCTCCAAAGAAAAGGAGACAGGCAATTACTTTTGAGATGAAAATGAAGATAATAACTGCATGAGAATGGTAAGACTGTAGCAACAATCTCACGTGACCTAGGTTTCTCACACTCGACCATATCCACTATTCTGAAGGACAAGGAACGTATTCGTGATGTAGTGAAAGGAACAACACCAATAAAGACAAGGTCCTATTCACAATATGGAAAAAATATTGGTGATATGGATAGAAGACCAGATACAGAAGCGTGTACCCTTAAGCCTTCTAACCATACAGGCTAAAGCAAGAAGCCTGTTCCAAAGCCTTAAGGAGCAGGCAGGAGATGAATGTGATCAAACCTTTACAGGAGGTCATGGGTGGTTTGATAGATTTAAAAAACGCTACAGCCTACACAATGTTAAGGTGAGTGGAGAGGCAGCTAGTGCCGATGTTGATGCTGCCGAAACTTTTAAGGAGGAGTTAGATGAAGTGATTGTGGAAAGGAATTATTTGCCTGAGCAAATATTCAATGTGGATGAGACTGAATTATTGTGGAAGCGCATGTCTGAGCGGACATACAACCACAGAGGCGAAAACAATGCCAGGATTCAAGACATTCAGGGACAGAATTACACTTCTGTTGGGGGGGAATGTTGCTGGTTTCAAGCTAAAGCCCTTCATGATCTATCATTCAGAGAACCCCAGGGCTTTTAAACATGTCAGTAAGCACACACTGCCAGTGTTTTACCACAGTAATAAAAAAGCTTGGATGACCTTAGCAC